GACAAATCACTTTTAAATATTCGGTAAATTAGATGCCTTGAAGTTAAAATTTATTTTGCTATTGGTCCGAGAGAGACCTTTTTTCTTCCAATTGAAACATACAATTGAAACGGTTTTTTACTTGGTTAAACGTTTTTGTGTTTGTAGTCGACCAAGTGAGTAATGATATAAGACATCTACCTTTGGTCATTTTGCACTATCTTGGATCTGTGCGAACTGAGTCATTTAAATCTAAAATGATGTGTCAAACATTTTCGTCGCGTCGGTTTAACACGTTGATCTTAACGTGTCAAACCGACACGTTAGCTTAAGATTAGACTTAGGTATTTTCAACATCGAAAAAAAAATCAAATAAAAAAAAAAATTGGTATACAATTAAACTATACAGTGTTCCCTCATTCCTGGAATTGTACTACTGTCTTGGAAAGTCCTAGAATGTTTTTTTTTTTTTTAAAAAAAATTGAAAAAATTATGGAATTTTTAAAATAATCTTCAGAAAAATTTGTATTAAGTATGACTTTTCATGCGTTAATAAAGTTTTATTCAATATCTTTTCATTTGCAAAATTCAAATAAAAAAATGTTTAGACTTTTAAGAAATTGATTTTTTAAAATTTTATCTAAAATTTCTTTTTTTATGAAACACCATTGGCAGGCAGGAAGTTTTGGCCAATATCCTGGAAAGAGTTCCTCGAAAGTTCTTGTTTTCATATTTTTTCTATGGAAACCCAGATATAGCTTTTAGTTGGTACTAGTTTTCTTTCATGTCCTACTTTATAATCACAACTTGTCGTGGTAATTTTTTAAAAATCCTTTAGTCATTAAATTTAGTACATTTAATTATAATATTTGTTGTACTTCAGTTAAAATGATTTTATTTACAATTTTTGGTAATAAAGGAAATTAATAAATTAAATTTTAAAAACAAAATAACAAATGAAGAAATTATAACTCTAATGAAGAAAACGAAAGACCACTGTCTATACCAGTTATCATAAAGTTAGATTATAAATAAACATTATAAATTAATAACCTATAACCACAGAATTAAGTTTTCCTTCAATCAAATAAAAGATTTAGAGTCAACCCTTAAATTATTTTGATTTGTACATATTGCTTTTACAAACTACTATTTTTGATTTTTCATACGTACGTATAATTAAAACATTTAAAATGTACTTTAGAGTAGACCGGTGCACGTTGGCCTGCTTTTTTCTCTTTGACGTGTAACTTTTTAGCTTTTCATTTTTTAATCAATTATTTGTAGAGAAAGGTTAACAAGACCCAAGACTACCAAAAACTAACATTATAAAAAATTCGTAATAGTTTGCAGTATATTTTAAATTGCTTTTGTAAGATCATGTTTGATGGGCCAGTCTCCCCGCTATCGGGGTAAGTTGGCTCATGGGTATAAAATGGGTCAAGCCTAATTTTTAAAATATTTTTTTTTTCGCACAACTATATATTTTATCTATATTAATAAAAAAAAAATCGAACTAGAAATTTAAAGTGTGTCGGACCTTACATACTTTATAGTATAAAACCCTCTAAATAATACAAAAAACATAAAATTGATATTAAGTAAACAGCTCAAGTTTGATTTTTCTTTTCAAAACATTTCAGATTACAAAATATTATTATTAGAAATGCACAAAAAACCATTTAACAAAAAGTGTTTTTGTCGAAGATCGGTTTTTATATATGGCCAACGTGACTCTTTTATATACTAAAATATTCCTTAAGTTATAAGCTTAAAATTTAGCATTAAGATAGTTCAGTACTGTCAAACAACAGGCATATTAACGGCAAACAAACGTTAAAAATGTTTCACGCTTTCAAAATTCCAAAAATGATCCAATAAGTATGAATTTATTTGGAAAGAGGGTTGAATACTTGTTTGGACCAACATAACCCTTTGGCCAACCTGCCCCGGTCTACCATATTTTACATACTTACATATAATTAAACCTTATTTTTCAACATACAGATGTCTTTTTAAAACGACTTTTTAAATCGATTGCCGTTGGATTATTTCAATGTTTTTGCGAACACTCGTTTTAAAATTTCATTAATTATGATCCGTCCAAGTTTATGTTTCATAGTAAATTATATGTAAAAAAAATAAAATTAAAATAAGATAGAATCCAGAAGACTTGGAACTTTCAAATTTTGCACATAGGGGTCATCCATAAAGTACGTCACGCTTCTAGGGTGAGGGGGGGAGGAGACATTTGTGACACTTTGTGACATGGGGGAGGGAGTGGGTTACGATAAGTGTGATATCACAAAAAAAAATTTGACAGCTGTCAGCTGTCAAAATTTGGACAACCCTGACACCAAAAAAATTTTTAGCAACTTTATTACTACCTATTTAGTGATTAAAATAAGGAAGTATTTTTGTAACACTTCTTATATTTATGTGTTTTGCCGTGTTTTTGAATACATAACAGATGTTAACAAGTGTGCTATTTTGAATGTATGTTGTAGAAGGCTTTCCAAGCATCATTATCAATCAAGAGTTAAGGGTTTTTGTTGGTTTTTTAAGTTTCTTGCAGTAGTTGTACTTTTAAAGAACATTTTTCAAAACAAAAACAATTCTATTATAAATGATAAAATATACTTACTTTTGCTTTACAAAGAGATTAGCAAATATTGAGAATCAATGTAAACATCTATAATGAACATGCCACAATCTTTTTTCTAGCAATACTTATAAATTAATTGCCTTGTAAAGTAAAAGAAATGCTGCCATGGAAGTTATAAGAATAAAGAAAATTATTTAGATTATTAAATTGATTGTGGTATATCTATGATTGTTGTACCTAATACTGTGATTCTCAAAAGTGCGTAAAAGTATGCCAAATATGTCCCGTCTGGATTTCAACTATGGCCAGACAGGAAAATGTCTTTTTTAATCATTTAACTTAAAGTGTTACAACATGTTGTAACATTTTAAGTTAAATGATTGACAACAAATCAGTGATTTTACTGCGTATGTACTTTATAGATGCCCCTTTGGTTGGAAAAAAAATTCTAAAACCTTTTATTTTCTAAACAATATTGTAATGTTTACTTTACAAATATCTGATGAGAACTTTAATTTATTAATAGTTATTATTAATTTCGACAATATGTTCTAAAATTTTTTTATTTTTATAAAAGTTAAAAAACTTTTTAAAGTTAAAATTTTGCTATTTTGCGCGGTGATTTTTATAGAGCTTAAATCACTTCAGAACTTTTGGTTTAAATTGAATTAATAACTCTGCGAAAATTTTGATATTTTCCGAATTTTTTAAGCTAAATTTAGGTTAGTGTAAGTGATAGACGAACCTAATTAGGTCTAACTTAGCGGTATTCCTGCATTTCCTTTTAGCGAAACTTAGCAAGTACTTTTAATATTCATGATATTGTATACCGAAACACAAAACAAGGGCGGATCTATTTAATTGTGTGTGTGTGTGTGTGTGGGGGGGGGGGGGGGAAGAGGGATCGCAAGGGTTAGGGCTAGAAATCAAAAACATTTTAAAATCGCCCCCTTACTAAATGGTCCGGATTCCCCGTTAACACAAAAAGAATTGTAATTTAAGCGTATAAAAAGTCAACACTATCAAATTTAAAGAAATATATAATATAATGTATGTTTATTTATATAGTATAATATATATATATATATATATATATATATATATATATATATATATATATATATATATATATATATTTAACTATAATGTATATAATATAATCTATGTTTCTTTATACATTTTATATTATTTATAACATATATTTTCTTAACTATAATATATATAATATAACCTTAGTTATCAAACACAAATAATTAACAATAACACAAAAACCTTTAACAATTAAAAATTAAATTATATCAAAATTAAAAATATCAGATATAACTTTATAATACTAAACCGACAAGTTTATGTCCCAATTCATTATTTTTATGAGTTAAGAGCGTTTAAAAATTAAGCAAATATAAAATACGGAATGCGAAAATTTCAAATGAGGTTTAAATACTAAAACGAACTCAAATAATCAAGACAAAGAAGAGGATTTGAACAAAATTAAAATACATTTATAAAATAAAAAAATTTAAAAATTGTTACTTAATTGAAGGAAGTTCGCCTAAACATAATCGTGATCCATACAAACTTCATTGGATGTTATTACAACTTGTTCTGGAATAAATAAATAAATAATCCAATATCAAATCTAACAAAAGCATTATTAATATAAAATCTTTTTTTTTTAAATTTTCTTATTGTTTCATTTATGGTTTTAATGCCCTCGTCAGGGGCGGATGCAAGATATTTTATGGGTGTTGCCTTGGCTTCTTAAGTTCATAAATTAGAAACTAGACATTACTTGTGTAACTGATTTAACGAAGTGCACCTAAGAGAAGGTAAGCCATAGGACTTTGCATTCAACCTGCAAATTATCATGTGGCCTAATGTCATGTGGGTTAAAATATCAAGTGGCCTAATATCATGTGGGTTATTTCAGCTTTATTTATAGCGTTTCGAAGCACTACCGAGGAGAGCTAGTTTCTCAAAACATGATAAAAAGCAGAATGTTTTTTTTTAAAGGCAATACATATTTTTTCAAGAACTTACATATAAATATTAGTATACTATAAATTACAATATAGTAATTTTCATATAATGAAAGGGTTTATTTATAAATTGTTGAAATATTATGGGTGAAACATGGGCATCATAGGATAGCCCCCAGATCCCTGGGCATTAAAAGACACTAATTTAAAAATATAGTCTAAAAAAGAAGAAAACAGACTCTTGCCTTATTTGGCTAAGCACAACACAAAATGTATTCAAATGCTGTAATGATATATAATAAAGATGGCATACTATAGGCTTTAACTATACTTGTTGTGTCCATTGTTTACAATTACCCTGAAGATTATTACAAAGGTGACATGAAAAAGCTTCAGTTACAGCTAGAGTGAAAGTTCTTGTATATTGGAGAAAATCGGATAATTAGAATGCTATCTATGCAGGCATGGATGCAATGAACACGGATGCTAAAACATGATTAGGAATAAGATGAAGATAATAAATGCATCATTTATAAACATAAAACAGCTAATTATTAATTGTAATTGTAATGGTAATCCTTTGATTTATTACCATAAAGTATTAATAAATCTAATATCACATTAGCATACAGACAATAACAAATAAACAAATAGTTCATTAAAAGAAAAGAAAAAAAATACTAACCTGCATCAGAACAAAAAGCAGACTGAACATCTGACAAATTTAATTCGTTTACGTTTGAGTTTGATATTCTCACTGGTTGAAATTCACAATCTAAAAAGTATTTTTTTTTTAATTATCTAAAAAAGCAACAGCTTTATACAAATTTAACAAAGAAATGATATAAATGACAGATGTCCTTATCATGACATGAAATTGATCTTTCAGTTCTGATGTAAAACAAGTTAATACCAGGAAAACAATCAGGTTTTATAATTAACTCCTTCATAGTGTCAAAGAAAGGTCTTTATAGAAACCTGTGGAGACCTATTAAAACTAAGTTTTGTGTTTATGTTTCCTGAACATTAAACTTAAAAATAAATAAAACTACCTATTTCTGTTGATAATAATTCAGTATTAGCAAACATAGAAGACTCGATTAAGTCGCTATTAACTTCCGTTGCTAAAGATTAAAAAATTGTAAACAAAAATCGAATACAAAATTAAATGTAGAATTATTTAGAAAAGTAAAAGAAAAACTGTAATGACTTACAACATAAATGTGTTTCAAATGAATTGTATTCCATATGCAATAAACCTTTAAAAGAAGCATATTGTTTGAATTGTTTTAAATAACAAAATATAAAACTATTTTATTTCTTTTAGTGTCTTAGATAAATAAATTTGAAAGCAAGTTAATTCAAGCAGAATATTTCTAATTTTATAATAAATATAACAGTATCGACTAAAATAATAAACTTATCAAAGTATTATATACTATTTATATATTATAAAATAAAATTCCACTATGTCTTATGCCCATCATTTACTTAATTTTGCAATTCCAGATTGGAACCCACATTTGTTGAAGGTTGAACAACTTATCAGGGTTGTGAAAAAACTGTTCCTTTTTTTAAAAACCGAAAAGCATGGGTTAATAACAACAACAAAATAACAACAACAACCTTGGTTTAAATTGATCTTATTTAAAAACGGTTTATATAGTTATACTTTTAAATTAAAAAAAAAAAATCATTGCAAATTTTACTTGGGTAAATTATATTCTTTATCAATATTACTGTTATTTTTCGTTGAAATAACTCAATACATCATTCCATAAGTTAAACAAATTCATTTGATTCCAGCACTAGAAACTGGTACATTTAATAAGCAATGTTAAGTAACAGCAGGGTTTTCAAAAAAACCCAAAAACTATTAATTTAGTTTAAACCAACATTTTTAAAACCATTCAGTTAAAACCATGCAACCCTGCAAATTATTGAGCTAGTACACCTCAGAGCCACAAAGACATAAGACAAACTAATCACAGAGAGATACTTCAATGTGAAAAATACACCAATTTTTTTAACTAACTGCAATCTGACAATCAATGACTTGTACTATGTCAATATTTTTACTTTTGTTGTAACAAATATATACTAGTACTACTCTAATATAAATGCTATGTAAATATTATTCATACTTTGTACAATATAATTAAAAAAAACTAACTTGTCAAGTCAAAAACAATATTAATTTCATTTTGATTTTCAACAATGTTAGCTAACAAGGCTGTTCCCATTGATGATGGATATCTTAAAACCTGTCCATCAGGTAAGCCATGAGCACTAATAATAGTGGGAACATATTTCTTGTATGGAATATGACATTTTCGAAATCTTTGTTGCAAGTGTTTTGGCAAAGCAAGTCGACTAATTTCTAATAATATTTATTAGATTAATTAAGAAATAGGAAAAAATTAAAAAACAAGCATTACAAATGTAAAGTTATACCATATTTTTTATTCAAAATATCTGCAACTTTAGTACATAATTTATTTTTTTCAACCATTTCCTTATTGACTATTGGAGCTAAAATTAAAAATGAAGCTTTTAACTTTATGTTAAATTATTGTGAACATATACTAGTACCTTAATAATTTAAATACCTTTCAAAAATTCAGCAAATTTAAACTGAAAGTTTAATTCTTCAGAATTTAGTAAAAATTGGCACCCTCTTTCGGTTGCAGTTACAACAGGAGCACCACCATGAGCAAGACAAGTAACCGCAACAACATCATTGCCCATATTTGCTAACTCTTCCACCTAAATAAAAAATATATAAACAAGTTATATAAAGGGTGCGAAACTTTTAGAAACTATTATTTATAATAATTTATGGTAATTAATTATAATTAAAATAAACATACAACTTTTTTCAACTGTTTTAACAACTTTTTAGATTTAATTTCTTTTTCTTCTTTAGTGAGAGGAAGTAATTTGTTTCTTTGTAATAAAGCTTTCTTGTTCCAGCTTTCTTTTTCATTGTTTGTTAACAACGACCAGTTATGACCAAGATTTTTGAAACAAAAATTTCTGTTATCAAAATCTGAATCTAGTTTAATAAACAATTATTGATAGAGTATATATTAATATAGGTAAAAACAATTGTAAAAACAATTATCAACAAGTATACAATACATTCGTTACAAAAAATATTATTTTAAATAAAATAAACATTAAATTTTTTAAATTTAAAACAAGTTGAATATGTATAACAATGAAGTATAAAAACTAAATTTCCAAGATAATAACAAAAAAATAATTAAAAGACTTTTTGAAAAAACAAACCCACAAGCTATCCAATATCAAAAAGAAAAGTTGGTTTAAACAAATAAGTTTGACAAAAAAGAAGAGAAAGTTGATGAAGAATCCATATTGAGTAAACAAAAAGAATATAAAGATAATTATTATAATAATAGTAAAGATTAAATTTACTGCAAAAAATACCTTCCAATGACAATAACTGGTTTTGTTTCCATAAATCGTACCCCCTTAGCACCTGAGTATTTATAGACACTTTTTTTCTTTTTTGTTTAACACTAAAATCCACATCTGATTTTCGGCTTTTTGCTTTGTGCCTAGCAATCCAGCTCTAAAAAAATGTAATATGAGCTTAGATGATTAAAATCTATATTTATGGTTTAACAATTAATATTTTATTATAAATTTCATACTTGTCAAATTGTATATAAAATAAATAACTAGAAAAAATTAATTCCTGTAATTCTCATCATTTTAAAATCATTGTTTTTCGTTCATTGTTCACTATGTATGCTATACACAATTAGCAACACCTGTACATTCTACGTACTCAAACCACCTTAATCTTTTTTTGCTCATTCTAGACTTTACAAAGCATAAATTTTTTATAATTTAAGCTTTTCTTAATTTTTTTTGCTTCAATTACATTTTCATAACTTGGGAAAATAGAATTGAAAAATGAAATTGGAAAAATAGAAGTTGGGGAAAAGGTAGTTGGAAGAATGGAATTGAAGCAAAAAAAAAGTAAAGAAAAAATGAGGTAATAAAAAACTTACGTTTGTAAAGTCTAGAATGAGCAAACAAAAACAGCTTGTATTAATTGTTTAAAAAAGTAAAGCACTGTAAACACTGAACCCTGATGCACATCAAACTTTACTTTAAGGCTAGCACTCTTTGATTGCTCTTGCAGTATGCTCTTGCCTTCATATTTTAACATAAACTTTACCATTACTTGTATGTATTATAAATAAAATATAAATAGTTAATTTTAGAAATTAGTTTTAGAACGTAGACAAACAACTGTCAGTTTTAATGTTTTGTTGTTAAAAACACTAAAAACAAATAATGATTAAAATTGCATATAATATGAAATTGTAATTATAATTTTAAATAATAAATACATAAAAAAATTAATACTTTAACTGTCTTTATGGATAAATGAGTTTCACCAGCTACTTCTGTAATTAAAGATAAGCAGCGCTTACCACACCCATTCATACCTTCATTAAACTTTTTTACAAGAATGTGCTCCACAGATGCAATTTTTATATTTTCCATTTAATATCAAAAGTTGTGATAAAACAATAATATATAATTTTAATTGGTGTTTAATGAGTAAAAAATAAAATAAGTATTTTTTTTTTGAAATGAATATTATTTTTGAAACTTTCGGTCGGTGTTTTAAGAACCACCCTAATATATATATATATATATATATATATATATATATATATATATATATATATATATATATATATATATATATATATACATACATGCATATATATATATATATATATATATATATATATATATATATATATATATATATATATATATATATATACTATATATATATATATATATATATATATATATATATATATATATATATATATATATATATATATATATATATATATATATATATATATATATATATATATATATATATATATATATATTCCACTGATATAGCAACCTAAAAATTTTTTAAATTATAGGTTGCTAACTTTACCAGGAATAAAATATATTTTTATATCTGATAAATACAAGTGTAAAGTTTAGATTATTAAAATAATGATTTATAATAATAATATGCCTATAATAATGATTTATAATAATATATGCCTATAATAAAAGTCCTTTACGGTCATTAGCATGATGATTGTAATTATCTTCAATGCGTGATTGTATAATACGTAATCAAATATGGCGTATTATACAACATGCTTAAACCAGCTTCATCTACTCTGACACATCTTAATATATATCATTAATATTTATTAACTCTTTCTTTTCAGTCATCTTTTATATCCAACTAATCATCTTCTTCGCTGTTCTTTCAAGACAATCAACCTTTATTGCCTATGTTATGCCTTATATTATGAGACTGTGTGCATGCAGTGTATAACTTTCTTTTACTCTAAAGACTGCATTTCTTGTCCTCTAATCTAGCATTTTTTCAGATTTTAGCTGATTATTTGATAGGTTTAAAAATTGAAGCAACTATCAGAAGATCAGGTGTCGTTCATATGACCATTTTGTTGTTGTTGTAAATTTTACTTCTATTTTTCGACACTTGTGTGGTTTGGAGGGTTTTCATTATGAAATTAATGCCATTATGAGAGAGTTAAAGCAATGTTTTACAATCAGATGCCCTTTCTGATGTTAACAGGAAGCAGGTTGTACTGGATTTCATGTTACCAGTATCAGGATAACCTAACTTGACGTTTAAAGGATAACCTGACCTGACTTTTTACTTCATATTGATGGCAAAGGCCATATACACGATCAAGAGCTGTTATACAATGGCAATAAAAACATTCAGCGTTTAAATAGATTTTTAGCTGAGGTCTTCATTCAAGCATGGTTTTCATGCAAAACTACTCTGGATGCACCCAACAACGACATACAGTTGATCAAAAGACTAAAAAAACTATTATGAAGCAGTATAAGTATGATTGGTTTAAAACAATGGCTCTGCATCACTGGTAACTCAGTCAGGAAACGGCTAATGTTTAAATTTTTCATCACTTCTATCAAACAGAGAAAACAATAACAGCATTTTTACAAGTTATTGAGCAACACAGCAAAAAATTAGAAGCTTAAAAGCGAAGAACTGATGTTCATTTAAAAAAGAAATTAATTAAAACTTGCACTAGACTTGAGTGTCTTAAGTGCATTTTTTTTACACAGTCTGCAGTTATTATTAAATTAAAAGCAAAAAGTATTTTTACTTTTTAGTAATTTCTTCGCAGAGAGGTCAATTTTCAGAGTCTCTGAGGGAGCCTAAAAATATTTCTTGTATTTATTTATAAATTATTTGAGTATATTTTACAAATAGAGTGTTCAATATTTTTTAAGAACAAAGCAGTAATAAATGAGTAAGAAAAATATTTTAGAATCAGTTTCATCGTTATACCTTTTAATCAAGTTCGCCTGAATATTAAATACACATTACCTTGTTTAAATTGATAATAAAGCATTATATATTAGACATAAGTCTAAACAAAGTTAAAATAAATCAAATTTAAGAAAATGTTATATTTTTTTATATTACCATAATATATTATAATTAAAATAGTACATTATATTGCCGCAAAATATTGACCGCCATTATTTGTATTATTTTTTGGCATGAACTTATATTATGAACACATAATTCGATGACATCGAAAAATAATATCACATGTGTGGCGGTGTGGCAAATACACGGCTGATGAGATCGGAAAACACAGAGATATTTTATTTCGATGAGATCGACAAATTTTACTTAGGATCGGGTGGCAAGTTTTACCTGTATCTCAAAATGATGCAGTTTTTTCATTGGAGCAAATAAACAATCACTATGTACATGTTTTCCTTGATCATGATTATTTTGTAAAAGAGTTAGTTGAAACTCAAGACTAAAAGAAGGAAACACTGTAATATTTAGTCATTTGTCATTTTTTTTAGTCATATAATGGATACCAAAAACAAGTTAAAAAATAATTTTTTTGTGATTTTCTAATTCGTAGTCTTTTTTGGTTCTCCGCATCTCTGTTGAAAAGTTACATATCAAACTAAATACAATATATTTATTGTAATAATGTTTATCCAAAGATATTGTTTGATATATCCTGTGGTGAAAAGGATACATATTAGGATTACTTATTTTTCTTTACATCAACTACTTGAATTTTCTTAACTTAATGACTTGAATAAAACTTTAAATCTAATAATAGAGATTAAAATCTATCTTAGTTTATTAGGGGCCGTATTATGTTTACTGATGTACTAATCAATTAAAAATGATATTTAGTTAACTTTTTAAGGAACTTTTATCTATGAACACACTACATGGGAACATCACATTGATTTTATCAGTACCAAAATTTCTAAAAACATTGAAATTTTATACGACTATAGATTATTTAAGTATTAAGAACACATAATTATGTCAGTTATTGAAATACTTATAGGGAAAGTACAAAGTTGAAATGTCTTTTTCCCCGTACAAAACACTCTTTTCGATTTATAAATTTTGCTGGGTTAGGGTATTTATATATATCTTATTAACCAGAAAAAAACCAAAGAAAAAACAATAAAATCAGTTTATTATTTAATAAGCAAACACATTCAACGTAGAATTGCGTATGGCAAGTCCAACAGCTTTTAAATATATCTGCAGCTCACTTTCATCTATCAAAAATCGTTTAGACAACACATCTATTAAGTATTTACAAGACTCATTAGGCTCCATTAAGCTAGCATAACTAATTGATGGTAAATTTTTGGAAGCGCCGGTATTTCTACATAAGCAATTTTTCACCTCTAATTTTAGTTCTGAATCGGACGTATCATTCATAGTATATAGTGGCTCGCCAATTAGACTGTGACTCTGTGGAAAACTACTAGGTAATCTAATGATGTTATCTAAATCTACTTCTTCATTAAAGTGACGAGCAGAAGCATTAAAAATTTTAAATAAACTTTCTTTTGTTTCACTGTTAGAAGTTACTCGTCTTACAACCCGACTCATCTGCTCGTGCGTGGCCAGAACACAATCACGAGGTTGGAAGCTACTAAAAACATCTTTACAACAATAATCAACATATGTCGAAACGTCATTTATATATTTTAAATCATTTAAATTTTGAGGTATGCCATTGTGAAGCTTCTTTTTAACTTTATTTGTATTTTTAAACATCCAATGTTTCCAAGTTTCTACACGTGTTAAATTGAAGCGGAACAAGGCTTGAACATTGATGACGTCATTTCTAAAAAAAAAAAATCTAACTTTTTTGGAGAGGCAGCCAAAAAAAGTAGGAAAGAGGTATAAAAACCCTCGTTAGTACAAACACGCTTTTAGATTTTAATAGAATAAAACATTTTTCTAATAAAATGAAGTTTAAAAAAAGGATAAAACCTAAACAAAAAATAAATTTAATTAAGTTTAAATTCAATAAAAACTGAATTTAAACACGAGTATAAAATGCTACATTTTTGTTTGATTGCAGATGATTATTTGAAACGGTATCTAGAATCTTGCAGATAAATGACATAAAGCAAAAGTTTGTTATACTTAAATATAAAATCTTATCTATAATAATTTTTTTTGATAATAATTAAATAACATTTATAATAATTCTTATGAGATAATGTAATAATATTATAACAAAATTAATGCAAAACACAGTTTATGTACAAAACAATCATAGTTTGAAGTCATGGTTTTCTCTTCAAGTTTAAAACTTATCTTCGCATTACTAATATTGAAAAAAATACAATATCCAAACTTTTACTCAAATTTAAAGAAGTAAAAAAAATCCACAAAAAAATATAAAATTTAAAAAAATAGCTAATATTAAGAACCATATCAATCTCACCGGTATTGTTCATAAAAAAATATTATTCTGAAAAATAAAAAATGTTTCTTCCTGAGTATTAACCACCTGAGAATACAAACATGTCAGCCGCCAGTTAATTTTGTTAACAAATGTGTACTTTTAAAGTGCAAAATACTCTCAATGCAGCCATTTTGTGTGAATATGAAAGATGTAAAACTTTATATAAACTTTATATAATTATATATCAATTTTATATTATGTTAATGTCAAAATATGTCAAACCATTATATTATGTATATAAATATCACGTAAATAAAAATTTTGTATCATGTGAAAGATGTAAAACTTTATATCAAAAGTGTAAAAAGTATAAAATATTAAAAGTATAAAAAATAAAGTAAGTATAAAAAAAGTATAAAGTATTAAAAACATATAAAAAAAATATATCACACAGTACAGATCTTACAAAAATAATTCAAGCAAAAATAAAGATTAATTAATAATAGAGATTAAAATCTATCTGTAAAACAACTGCAGTCAAAATATACCACTTATATCATGTATACACCCAATCTTATATCATGTGCTTCATTTTTCCTATTTTATGTCCAAATTGTCCATTGTCTATTAAATTTGCTTTATAGGCTATACAGAGAACATGTCCCTTTGCAATACTAGATTCTAAATCAAGGATGCACAGGGCATGAGTTATCACCTATTAGATAATTATTGGTTTATCAGGTTATTTGTTACCTTGTAATCTTTCCAGCTAAGAAGTAATGTTTAAAATTATTAATAAAACCAACACCTACTCATAATCACCTAATCATCTCCAATCACCTCTTCTTATGAATGTTACCAATTAAATCTCACAAATGGTTTAAAAACTGCTGAAAGTTTGACAAGATTTTTCAAGATTTAGTTTATAACTTGATTACTTAGTAATGTATCAACAATACTTTTACAATAGCTGCAAGAAAATCAATTACCCAAAAACTTTTTATTAAACCATAAATAATACAAAAAATTTAACAAAAAAATGTTGAACCCAAGATTGTTACAAAATTTAACTAACTTGATTCATTTTTTTTTTTTAATTTTTCAAAGTTTTTTCATACACACTGTAGATGGTGCAATTGACTAAAGTGGAAGCAAAGGTAATCTTGTTTATTTTTTGATTTTTTTTTATTATATATGTTATATATGTTGTTCGTATAATAAGAAAATATAATTAGAAAGAAATGTTTGCATAAAAAAAGTGGATTAATAAAAAACCTGCAGGAGCTTAAATAAGATTCGGATGATTAAAGTCACTACAATCTTTTCATAGAGCCCTTATTTTACATGTTAAAAATAAATGCTTTACATGTTAAAAATAAAACATGTTATAAATAATATGTACAATATAATAAAAAAGTTTAAGTTTTCATAAATATTTCCATTAAATTAAGAAAGTATATGATATAAATATAAAAATAATAGACAATCAAACAAACAAAAAAAAACTAAGAATAATGGAATTTGATGTTCATTTAGAAAAAGTTAAACATTTATTTATTAAGTTCAAAACTTTTTTTCATTAGAAACTTAAAATAGATTAACAATTTTAGTGTATTTGAACGTTCAGTGACGAATCCAGGATTTTTTGGTGTTTCAGATAGCTAACTTTCAGACATGGAGCAAACTCCAAACATTTGTATGTTTATACTCATATAATATTGAGTATAAATATACGTCTATATTTATACTCAAATAATGAGGCTTCACAAAAAATTGCGATGATTTGAGGCTGGGAACAAAAAAGCCCTTTGACTTGATCCCCCACCTCGCCCTAAATGTGAGCGGCAACAAGTTGATAAAATTTTTTTGTACTATATTCAACTTGACTTATATTCATCGATAAATTTTAAATTTTATAGTATTATCTCTCAGCGTTCAAAAATTATGGGAGATTTGCATCTCTAGTACTAAAAAAAATACATGCAGCTGACACTTTGTAATTTTTTGTAAAATTCAATTCAAAAACTCTTCGCATTGTTAAATTGCAACAGCAACATAATAAAACGTTATACGCATATAAAGCATATAAAGCATTAAACCAAACATTTTATCAAAAGTCGAAGAAGTCACTGAAACTCTACACTGAACAAACTGTAGAATCTTGATCTTTTAAACACAGAATAACACAGATGCCTAAAGCTTAATTATTTTGTTGATTTATATATAATTTTTTTTTGATTTCTTCCAAATTTCAGAAAAAATTTTTTTTGTCAGAATTATTTCATTTCTTAGATTCTTAGAAAAAAAAAAGGTTGAGACATATATTGATTCTATATTAAACAATAAATATAGGGTAAAATTGAATTTTAATGAATAAAATTTTGAGCGTAACAAAGACCAATTCTGGTTGTAATAAAGAAAAAAGTAGTAAATCATTTTTTTGTTTTAGTATAATAGCTGGATTTTAACTTAGACAACTTTTAAAATTGAAGTCAATTCATATTTACCCTGTATAAAATGTAAAATTTTTTAGGTTCAAAAAACTCAAATTAACTTCAAAATAATAACACACTTTCAAATTTTTTTATAACACAATGAAAATTAAATATAGTGGTAGACTTACAGTTGAGGCATTGTGATCTGTAAATCAGTCACAATAAAATAAAAATTCACCAAAAAATACAATTACAATAAAAATAATAGAAGATGATAAATTAATAGTAGATAATAGTTAATGCAACAAATAGCCATTGTGATTTGTAATTTTAATCCAAATCTAACCTCACAAAAAAAAAATTGACCTAAAAAATTTTCATAAAACTTAAAAAAAAAAAAACATTAGGTTTGTGCTAATGATATCAAGATATAATTTTTTAATCATTCAAATTCATACAAAAATTCTAATAATTGGGTTTGCTAAATAGTGACTAGAAATTTTTCTGATTTGGATTTGGAGCATTTAAAGCAGCATATCAAAAACAATGAGATTAACTACGTTCTGTTAAGCAAGAAAACTTAAATTCATTCATGGCACTATAGAACACTTACATGAAATGAGAAAGATCTCAAGCTCGGTATTTGGATACTATATAAACAGAATACTTGTCAGCTAAGTCAAAAAAGTGGACACCTGCATAAACTTTTTGTCTTGCACTGCGCATTTAAGTGGCTTGATCATTTCTTCACCAGAGACAAGAAGTAAGTACCTGGCATTGTGTCCCCAATACACATTGCTGCACAATATGCAGTGTTGTTCTGCTAAATACAAAAAATATTGCAGCAACCAACTGTGCTCAACTTAACAAACTTCAAGTGAAACTAAAAAATGTCAATAAAGTTTACTTATTCTATAAATGACAACACCGGTCCTCACATAACAAAATCAACATAACGCCATGAAAGTTTCAACAGGGAGGAAGAAATTCAAAAGCACCCCAATCATTTAGCGGTTTTATGAAAAGGCCGTCGCTAGTTTTCAAGCGGTTTTTTGAAAAGGCAGTCACTACTTTTTAGCCAATTCAGTATTTTTTATTTACAAACTCATCTCACAAATACTGAGAGGTTTGTAAAGCCATTTTTTCATTTAAAATATCTAAAACTAAAGACACTTACTCTTCTGATTCTCCATCAAGATAATATAACAATTTTGTGGCATAAAAAATGAATGCAGCAAGATATCCTTCTAAAACAAATTTTGTATTCCATGAAGAAACATCATATGAAAATCCAAAATTAACACTATCAGTCAAAAAGTGAACAATCTTTAAAACAGCATCTAATATAAATTATAACAAATAAAAAAAACTAGCTATAAAACAACATATTTATATTACACAAACAAATAAAAATGTCAAATAAAAATTAGCACAGGTTTTTTTATTATAAATTTGTATCAAAAAATATTTATTCAAAAAAAAAAGGTATAAAAACTAAAAGCATTAGCCAATAGAAAAAATAAAATATGCAATAGCATCTTTGGTCATATCTTTACATGTCATTAAATGATAATTTTTGTACAACATTGACATCGATTTTTCTTAGGCACTATCTAATTCTGGATTAAAGTTGGTCAACATTATCAGCTGTCCAGCCACCCACTATACTTCTTATCAAAGAACTCACCAAAATTCATCATTATGAAGAGTTTCTAGAGAGTTAGCTGGATTTTGTAATGGGGGTAAATCAAGTCAAAGTATATTTACCTTGCTATGATATTCTGGAATGGCCTCAACTACTTGATTATTAACACTGATTGAGGTAAACTTATTTGTTGAAAACCATTCTACTTAGTCTAATGTTGTTTACACCTTCTGGTGAAGCAAGAAAAACCCAGGCCTATTACTATGCAAACTGTAAACAAAAAATTGAGGCTGATTAGTTAAGAAAAATTTTCAGAATTTTCTTAACATAGTTTGAGTTGTTTAGCTTAAAACTTAAAGCTAATGAATGGAATTTTAAATTCAAATCAGATTTGAAGTTAACTACCAAAGTACAATTAGTTTTCTTTAAATTATTACATTAAAAAATTTCTCAGAAACATTTTTATGGATTTTTTTACCTTCATTATTTTATAAAATTATACTTTCAATTAAACTTTAAAAAAATACCTCTTCTAATTAAAAATATGAGACACTACATTGTAAATGCTACATAAGCATTTAAAACGTGTAAATCTAAAGCAGTATGTGTAAATAAGCAAACTATTTGTTAAGTACATCACACAACATTTGTGTGATGTACTTAACAAATCTAACACTATTTCAAAAGCTTTTAGTACAATGTGCCAGGTTGTTGGTTGTGTTTTTTTTTTCATGTTGGTCATACTCGCACAAACTATTAGGAGCAACTAATGCAAAAGAAAAATAAAGTATTTTATTTTTTGAACATAATTTTTAATATACATTTGCTGTTTTTATTTACTTTTAAGTAATTTAACAATATTGCACAAAATGCAAACAAAACTATTAAAATAAATTCAAAGGATGAAATAAAATATTCTGCTAGCGATATAAGTAGAATAAATAAAATGATAAATCATCAAATAAAAATAAAATGTAAAGTAAAATTTCAAATAGATTTTAAAAAATTAATGTGCTCTTTGTTGAAGAAAAACCTTATAAAATAATACAATTAATTCCCAATAACTTGAAGATCCAAGGGACTAAAAAAAATGATTTGACTTAACAAATGTTCAACTAAAGCAAATTCCCATTAAGTTGAACTTTGGCTCATATGAGATATTGGTTCAAGTTAGGGTGATTTAATGCTTAAGTATAAAAGTTAAATACACACCATTATACTAATAAAATGTGCAAAAGATTTTTAGTGAAAGAAGTTACGTATTATATTCATGCTGTGCGCATGAATATAATAGTAGAGGTTCCGAGTTTGATCTCCACCACGTCCCTGGTAGTACCGCGTACAAGTCGTTTCTCCGCACAGCGGCCTTGTTCGTCAAGGTTTGTGTTTTGGAGTTATAGAATTGAGAGAGGATTATAACCACAATAAAGTAGCCTCCTGGTTTGTAGTGGCCTTCTCGGCCTTGAGGAGGTGAATTAACAAAAAAATAAAAAATGAAAAAAAAGAAAATTCCATCTTAAAGCTTGCTTGATTTTTTAACGGTATTTTATAAAGATTAATAATTTTATTATATAATAACTTTATTATAGAATTATTTTATGTCTGATAATGATCTATTCAGATCTAAATACAATGAAAAACTATAGAAAATATAAGGCTACTGTTATTTATGTTTTATATGGAAAATATTAGACTACTGTTATTTGTTTTATATGGAATAATTTCTTAAAAAATGTAATAAGGTTTATTTTGATTTCTTTATTTTCATATGAAAAGTTCAAGTTAAGCAAAAAAAAATTCTGAAAGGGGATGAAAATAGTTCAACTTAACTATGTTATCAGAGATTTGATTTAACCGGATAATTTAAATAGTAATCAATTAGACAATTTCAAGGGGCCAACTGAAACTGTTTGAGATTAAAACATAGATGACAAAAGTTCAAGTGTTAACCAGTGTTTGACCTGGAAACTGTAGTAATTAAAATCTCAGCTTTTATTTATTGTTGTTTTGTTTTTCAAAAAAAAGTTAAATTGGTCACTTATAGTATGTTATTTATCTTCTATTTTTGCATTCCCTTTCTTAGATTAATGAGCTAGATTTTTATAGAAATTTAATAGAAAATTTTTAAGGAAATAAAAAATAACTATAAAATTAAAAAATAATTTAACTATTTAAAATACAGAAAAAATCTTTTCCTTTATTATCATTATGTTGTTGATATACCAGATTGAATGTTTAAATATTTACAAGTAAATTAACAACAATTAAAGCAAAAATATACTTCTAATTTAAATACTTAACTAAATATTAATTAGTAGGTGTAATGATTACAATGTTAATGATTACAATGTGAATAAGTGATTACAATGCGAATAAGTGGTTTAAAATTGTTAAACTATAAAATACTCAAATAAAAATAAAACTTTACTATTACCATTAAATGCTTTGTGACTGTCATCTTTATTGTTTGTTGCTGAGTTAATTCTTTTATTTACTTCTATTGTTTGTTGCTGACTTAAAGCTTTCTGAGTTATTTTCTGAATTTTGTTATTACTTTATTTATTATTACACTATTTCTATTTGTTATTACCTTTCATTATTTATGTTTCATTATTTCTTAAAAACATATTGTACATATTGTCTGCCCAACCTGTCTACAACTATTTAAGTTTTCACCTAAATCTGATGTCATTTATGTGTGTTTGCATATATGTGCATGTTTGTGTGTGCATATGTGTGCATGCGTGTGTGCATGTGTGTGTGTGTAAATTGAATAAAAGAAAATGGTATTCACTCTAAAATAAGTCAGTAAATTGTTTTCATAAATAAAAAAGATAAAAATTTTAAACAAACAATTTAAATTTTTTTTTTTTTTTTATCATTAACTTTAATGAACTTAAATATTCGTTTGAACTTAATAACTTTGTTTACAATGTCATAAAACTCAAAATAACTAATATGATCAGCTTTGTTTTATTTAAAACTATTTGTTAAAAAATCCCAATGATTTGATATAATAATTTTATTCATATATAAAGTTGTTGTAATATTTTTCTTTAAATGCATTTTATTGAAAAAAAAATATCATACGACTTTACTTTTAAATATTTTTTAAATTACAAAAAAAACTAGCATTACAAATTTTTGATAAATATATTTTTGATAAAAGAATCTTAAGAAATATAAAAATAGAAGAAATATAGGAAACATAAAAACATAAAAAGTTTCACTAAAAAATGTGGTGAAAATGTCTGAAAATTGCAATAATAAGTGCATGAACCTTCTAAAGGATCGAATGTCTAAAGAATCAACATGAAGTTAAGTAATTGTTACAACTTCTGATTTCCATAACACATTCCAATTGACATCTGAATATTTTAAAAGTAATAATCCATTAAATATTCGAAATCTTTATCCAGTTTAAATTTTAACTTCATATTAATCATATTATAATAAGAATTAATTTTTTTAACTTTAGAAGTAACACATTATAATAAAAATAAAGCATCAATATATTTTTTTGATCAATTTATTATTATTTAATATAATTTTATATTCTAATTATCATAAAGCTAGCTTTTATAAATTAATAAGTAAAATAAAAATTCTATATTAAAATATATAAAAATCTAAAAATTTTATTTTAAACAAAGAACAAAATAAGCTAAGAGTGCTATAATATAAAAAAACTTACAGTCAAATTCCAAGTCAACTATAACAGATGTTAATAGTAGCTTTAACTCTTCATTTGAAAAGTTTATATTTAGTTTTAGTTTTTCAATAATTTTTTTTGCAAGAATGCTCATCTCATTTGCTGTAGGAGTCTTTCTTCTGCAAAGTTTTGCATCATCTCTAAAAACAAATTTCATTGTCTCCGGAAGGACAACTGAAGCTTTATGATAAGGAAGAGTTCCTTCATTTGACCACCTTTAAAGAAAAATACTTTGAATTAAAAACCTTCTTTTCTATTTCTTTTCTTCTATACAAATATTGCTAAAAAAAATGCACTTATTGCAAAAAATATAAGTTTCAATATATAAGTTAACCAGCAAACACAAACATTTTGTTTTATGCACACACACACACACACACACACACACAAAATACTTTTTCCAGTTCCTGTAAATATTTGAAAAATATGAAGTATATTCGATTCACAATTTTTAATTTAATCTATGTAACAGGTTTAAAAATTATTTTGTGTTATGTTATGGTGTTTAATTGTAGTTATGGGTTTAAATATTTACTTTTGTAATTTGTAGAGTAACTTGATCTTTATTATTTATTACTCATGGGTGTAGTTAACTTATTGGGTGTAAGAGCAGAGTCACTCTCCATCTATTTATATTGCATCCATTGCCAATACAAATAAAATTTTAAACATGCTTTTAGAACTTCAGCTGATTGTCCTTTTTTCACAACAGGAAGTACTTGCCTAAAGTTAAAAATATAATTAATATTTAATATACAAAATATAATTAAGTTAAAAAATGAATAGTAATGTTAAATAATAGTTTTAATTTATATAATATATTAAACATGAATAATATTTACCGAATTATATTTTGTTTATTAAATATTAATTATATTTTTTAACTTTGGGCAAATACTTCCTGTTGTAAAAAAAGGAAACCATTTGATGTTGTAGAAGCTTGTTTAAATGTGTCATATTTTATATTATCTCCTATTATGAAACATTATAATACAATTAATGATTGTTTTATAACAATTAATCCAATGTTTTTGAAATATTCTTACGTTTAAGCTGTTGATAAATATTAGCAATTTTATGAGGATAAAAAAGATGAATTTTAAAAATATAGTTAATACCTGAAAAAATACATAACATGTGTACAGTCAAATTATTCATATTTCATTTTATCTTGTTTTATTAAAAAATTTGTTAAAAAATCATTACAAAATAAAGAGAAAACAATTTATTGAAGAAATAGGAAAAGCAAGTGAAACTGTAAAGTACGAGCTGTTGTTGACAGCAAATGAAACTGTAAAGTATGAGCTGTTGACAGCAATTGAAACTGTAAAGCATGAGCTGTTGACAGATGTTACCAGAATAGAGGGCTTATACAAATCCAATGTAAATGTGAATGATCTAGAAGATAAATGATAAAATTTCAGAAGATTTTAAAATGTAGTAAAATCTAAGTTAAAAAAACCTCATAGACTTTTCTCAAGGTTCCTAGAAAATATCGTAAAATGGCTTGATGAGGAGACAAAGTGGAGAGATTGTTAGCACAGGTGCAGCTAGGTACAGAGAGAGATTTGAAGAATTAGAAAGATAAAAATGGAGAAATCCAAAATACAGAAAATTTCTGATCTTTAAGAACATGCACCTGAAGCTCTTGCACTAGTAACTATAAAATATGTAAAGTCCGATCTGATTTAACTAAACTTGCTTTTGTAATCAAAAAGTATACATAAAAATGCCACAAAATTCAGGGTAGTTATAAATGCTGGTACTCCAATGTTATTGACCCCAACAGATGCTTTTGCATTGAAGATTTATTTGACTTTAGTGAAAATCAATACCAGATGATTAGAAACATATCCAATTCTCCATAAGATAATTGAAACAAAAACTCTTCAGCATCTAGTTATAACTGAAACATAAGTAAAATGCCCTCTGCAAGTGTAAAGGTAAACCACAAATCCATAGGTTTTGAAGTAGTAGTATTTCTGCCTCTAAGATAAAAAAATTCTTTTTTCAAAGTCTGAATTTATAAGAGTCATTTATAAAGTTGGAGGGTCTATAAACAAAAGTATGAGGAAACTTTACTGACACCCTGAAAAATAAGAAAATTTCATTACAAACATGAGTAAATCCACCCAAGTTGGTCATTGATAATCATATTGTTTGGATTAATTCAAGAAACCATATTTCTCTTTTATGTATACATTAACAATACAAGAAAAAATCATTAGAGTTAAGCAAGACAGAAAAAAAATATCACAAATACAAAAAAAAAACTTGTCAAGAATATTAGTTTGAAAGATGACCAAGTATGCACTCTCATAACTTATTTAAAAATTGATCATACTATGTTTGAGTACAAAATAGAACTGATTGTACAAATCTGATAAAATAATAATAAAAAACAAAAACAAATTTTAATAAACTTTTAACAAAAATATTAAAAATTGTCTTGAATAACAAAATTGTCTTAAATCACAACTCTCAAGTTTGATAGAAAGGTGTATCAACTGGAACTTCCTACCTGGAACTGGAACTTCCTACCTGGAACTGGAACTTCCTACCTTTTAGAGTCAGAGCCAAAGTTCAGTAACATCCCTACAATTACTATTATGTTTAATGTAAAATCAGTTTACTGACAACGGTTTTACACATATGTAACGTTAAACCATCAAAATAAAAAAACTTGTCAGTAATAAAAGAGAAACCAGTGAACCAAGAAGCTTTTGAACTTGGATTGTCAATAAAGACTACACTGCTAGATCAAGTACTTTGAACATCATTCTGAGTTTAAGTTATAAACTGGAAAATATTACATCAAGCCAGATCAGCTGAGGACATTTTCTCAGTTGATCTGGCTTGATGTAATATTTTCCAGATTATAACTTAAACACAATTCCAAGTTAATTCAAACTGTGTTTAAGTTATAAATAATCAGTTCAAAGTTAAAGATTTTTTAATTATTTAATTTACCTCTGCAAAGAAGGAGCCGCTACAGGCAAGGATGCAAATTAATTTATTTTATCAATATTTTTTTTAAAGGAAACACTAAATTTAATAGCAGATATTCTTTAAAAAATTTACTATGCAATCGACAAATTGAATTAAATATTGAAACTGAAAGAAGCTGCCAGTTTTTTAATAGCTATGACTCTTTTCGAAAATCTGACTCTTACTCCCATGGTTCTGACTGCTTCTAAAAACCTCTAGCTGAAATAATTTAAAAAAAACCAGCAAAACAAATGTTTTATTAAAATTCTAGATAAATAATTAACAGCCAAAAATTAAAACGATTTATATAAATATTAAACAAAATAATTAATATAAACACAAAAAGACAAACATTTCATTTAAATCTAAATATTAATACTCCATTTAAAGTTTAACATCATCCTACATCATTTTTAACTAGTTACAAGACTTCTCTAAACACATTTCTTATAGTTAGTAATATAAAGCTTAGTTACAATTGTGATTGTAATTGGTTAAAATAGAATCATGTAATTGACTATATCCGTAAAGTCTAATTTAAATTGCAGTTACTGTTTAATTAAAGTCAAATTTAACTGCTTTAACTTTTTGATTTGCAAAAATCATAAAAAATATTTATGTTTAATATATTATATAACTTAAAACTATTATCTAAGTTTATTTTTTAACTTAATTATATTTTATTTATTAAATATTAATTCTATTTTTAACTTTAGGCAAGTACTTTCTATTGTGAAAAGAGAACAACTAGCTAAAGTTGAAGCATTTTTAAAATGTTCTTTGCATTGGCAATGGAAGCAAAAGTTTGTCATTTTGTGTGGCGACTTAAGACAAATACTACTTGTTGTGATGCCAATGGATGCAGAAATTTGCATTAACTGAAAATATGAGAGTGCATGATGGGAAAAGAGAATTTTAACATAGGCTATTAAAACTTTATAGCGGAACAATACTTGTCAAAGAAGAAGATCCTGGTAAATAATGTATTGAAATACTGCATCAGTGCATTATTTAATAAACAACTCAATTATTGTTAAGATATTTGGAGATGCTGAACAAGATAATTATGCTAAACAAGTTATTTTATCATCCACTAATGCAGATTCACTGTCAATCAATGAACAAGTTATTGAACGTTTACCAGGAGAAATAAAAACTTATTTAAGTGCTGATTAAATTGAGATTAAATTGATGTTAAGGAAAGAAATAACTTTCCTGTTGAGCATTTGAATAGCTTAACTCCTTCTGGTATGACTCCCCATTGTTTATAATTGAAAATTGATTGTGTGATAATGTCACTTAGAAATTATAAAATTCAAAACTAGGTTATGCAATGGCACTCTAATTAAAGTTTGTACTCTTCAAAATAATTATATTGTTGCGAAGGTTTTGACACATGTTTCTGGTGGTAAACGGGTATTATTTGCTCAAATTCAGTTTGCTCTGTCAATTGAATTTACAATTTATTCTGACAAGTAGTCATTTTCCTGTCCAATTGGCATATACAATGAGAATCAATAAAAATCAATATCAAACGTTTGATGGAGTTGGTGGATATTTAAAAAAAAAAAGTGTGTTTCTCTCACTGCCAACAATATGTTGCATGTTCAAAAACAAGAGCATTTAAATATTTGTTTATACCACTATTTCCCCCCCCCCCCAAAGTGTGATGTAATTTATGGACAACCCCTAAGCTAAATAGCTCAACACAAAATTAAGACAAATCCAGGCAAAATATATTCCAGATATTTTTCGCTAAAAATTTTTCACATCTTTAAAATATGACCCGGATGAATGCTAAAATAAATAGTTGGTTGACAGACATTGACATAACCCTAAAGTAGACCAATATTATCACTAACAGTTTTTTTTTTGTTGTTATTAAATTTTGCCGCAGGATCAAATAAAATAAAGATGGCTTAAGTATAAATAGAACAAAACGAAGTTTCAGAACTTAAAGTTAAAAAATTAATAAATAAACTATGAAACTAAAGCTTCAATATTATAAAAGCCAAATTTTTAAATTAATTCAACTTTTAATAAATTTTGTTATGCTATGTTCATTAGGGTTGTGACGTTTTGGTAACTCTAGTTTCCAATGTAAAAAACAGATGAACTTTGGTTTGAAAGTAACTGAAAAGTCATTGTTTTATTTAATTTTTTGAAAAAGGTCACCTTCCATGACCCTTGATTACACACTGGCTCCCATATATCAGTGAACTTTCTTTTCTTCAAAAGTATATCAACCTGGGTCTCAAAAGAACCAGAACTTTATAGAGATTCCAGAAATAAAAATGAATTGCTTAAATTTTTTTATACAAAAAGCAACACTCAACAAATGCAAGAGGAAAGGGTTAATAAAGATATAAATTAAAATATTTAAATAAAAAAGGCAAAAAAAAAAAAATTTATTCAAAGAGAAAATCAGAGTTGTTAACAAGGCTGAAAATAGCAAATGCCAAGGCCAAAACCAAGACCAAAAGTTCTAAGGCTAAGAGTTTCAAAGTCTAAGCCTATGCAAAGTTTTAAAGTGCTTTGACAATAAAACCACATGCTGTGAAAATAGACAAGGTTATGCACAGAATTTGACAAGGTCAATAAGGAAATATATTTGGAGATATATGAAAGCCAAAAACAAAAATACATAAAAATAAAGAATTATGCTGAAAATTAATATTAACATCTTTTAATTATAAATATGTTGATATTAGTTGTTAGCATTAACTATATCTCATAAGCATTAACTACACATTAAGAAAAAGGTAGAAATTTCTACTTTAGGGTAGGATTTGTGATATACCCTTAGTAAGGTATAATTTTTTACCTTTTAAAGTAAAAAATTATACTAAAAACAATGATTTATTATACAATTTTCTACTTTAAAAATATAATATTCTACCTTAAGGTAGAAATTTGCTTTTTTTTTTTTCATGTGTATCACTATAACTGACGTTGCAGGGATACAGAAAATTTTGAAATGTTTTAATATAAACACTTCAAAAAACTAATAAAAAATGTTAAAACAAATCATGTGACTTGATGTAATAAATTCCTATTAACTAATCTTTAATCATAACCATGTCATTGATTGTTTTGAAAATGGCCAGTCAAAAATGGCAATTTAAACCATGACATAAAACACAGAATTAAGTTTTAAAGATTTCAAGTGAACAAAATCAATTTTAGTAAAATTTTTTAAATGCAAACATGACAGAAAGTTCTGAATTCAATAAGTAATGGTGGAAGGCCAAGGCTAAAGCCAAAATGTTCAAGGCCAAAGCCAACAATTTCAAGACTGAGGCTTTTATTTTTGACCTTAAGGCTAGGCCAAGGCTAACAACTCTGTTCTAGATAAAATAATTACATTAAAAACAGCAAAAATGTATGTTTTATTTTAATTCTAAATAAAATAATTCATACATAACAGTGTTTTCACAATTTTTTATAAATGCATTTGATGAATAAAAAAGATTTAAAAGCAGGCACTTTTTTTATGCGCTGGCAAATTTTGTTGCAGAGGTGTGGGTGAGCACAAAAAAAATAGAGGGCAAAAGATTTGGCCAAACAGTGAAGACTGATGTTTTTTAACTATACAGTCTTCACTAACGTTCCTTAGGTCGTTTTGTCAACAATATTGTTTTTTAACGTTACATTTTTTAGTGGTTATAAGCTATTAGTTGAAAATCGCATTTATTGTCTTATCTTTTTATTTCTTCATTGTTTTCTGCCTACTGATTTATATAATATATTTTTAATTATAGATATATTTTTTATTTTTTTTTTTAATCTCTGGCTAATCCTTGTTTAATTACTCTGAGTCTGTTTTGTGTGATAGCTATTGTCTCTACTTACCAGGCAAGATTTATATGAGAACATACTATTGGAGTTATCACATTTTTTATCATACTTTCGTTTAACTACTTTCATACTAACCACAAAACATCTTAACTTAGTATCAATGCTTATGAGTGGTATTTACTTATTATATTTATAATACATATTTCAGCCATAAAAGAAACGGTAAGTTACTATTAACTATTAATTACTATTTTCTATTCCCTTTGTGTTATTTCTACACATTATAATTGTTTATTTATACACGCGCATACGTACATGTGTACAAGTTTGTTTCTTCTAATGTAAGGGTACCTTATATTTATATGTGCTTACATATCTGTTTATGGTCACACCACACGCATCCCTCACCACCCTCACGAGATCTCTAAGAATGTTGGAGCTGTTTTCAAAAACTGGGATAGGTATTGGGTTTTTTGGCTTTTGTAGTGTAGTCCTACTAAATTGCAATATTGAATAGCATGACGTAGAGTGCAGGCGGTGAGATCTGTTGCAAAGACACGCCCCTGACGAATGGCGTTAGTGCAGGTCTCGGGCTCTCCATAACATCATTAGTGATCGCAGTGCATTCCTGAGGAGGGGGATCACCATTTATCCACTACTTAATTCTAATTGGTTATTATGGCACCAACATTTTTTTACCGCTTACACCAATGTATTTTTGCGCTTTGTGAGCTTTTTATTACGAATTTGTTACATTAACGACATTTATATATTTTTATGTTACAGAGGTGATTATCAGTTCTCAATTTTTTATCTAGAGTTTAGAACATATATAATACCACATTTATTAGACATTTGTATGGTGTGATTATTTTAGCTATGAATACCATTAATAAACCAGCGGATTTTTATTGACTTGTTTACTCATAGATCATTGTTTTATCATTTGCTTAAAGATGACTAGAGTGTGAGTTTTGGTTCCTCTTTTCCTGAGTTGCTAACTTTTACTCCTAGTACTAAATAGTCTTTACATTAATTTATGTTTTTTTATCTAAATGACATCATCTTCAATCTGTTTTTATTTTCATATCTCCCAGATCTACATAACTGGATGGCTCCGTTGGTCACTTTTTGCGATCATTGTATCGCATAAGCAAAAAAAAATTTATTCTTTGTGGCTGGTGAGCCCCAACTTTTTCCAATGTACACCACAACGACAAAACGGACATTAGGCTATCCTGCTGGATCTGGTTACGGCGTTCAATAACCTAATGACTACGCTGACACTCACGTACATGTTTAGTCGGAAGCTCCACAATGCACGTCGGATCAGCGCTCGCTGACTATGTGCTCGGATCTGAAATCTCACTTCATAGCACATCATTCCACACCAGCACGGGGTAGTAGCTCTTTTGGCTAAGAATGTGTGCATTTGATCAATTGAAATCCATTCTGTAGGTCTCACGTCTGGCTCTGATGTGCTAGCCCATAAGCGCCAGAAGTGAGTGTTTTTATTATCACATCTCTCAGGTTTACGAAACTGGACGACTCCGTTGGTCACTTTTTGCGATCATTGTGTCGCATAAACAAAAAATAAAATAATTACATTAAAAACAGCAAAAATGTATGTTTTATTTTAATTCTAAATAAAATAATTCATACATAACAGTGTTTTCACAATTTTTTATAAAAGCATTTGATGAATAAAAAAGATTTAAAAGCAGGCACTTTTTTTATGCGCTATTGCAGAGGTGTGGGTGAGCACAAAAAGAATAGAGGGCAAAAGATTTGGCCAAACAGTGAAGACTGATGTTTTTTTAGACAGGTGAGGAGATGGCATAAAAATTCTTATTTAATTGAAATAAAACTTTCCTAGTAAAGAAATTAAAGAACATTACTCTGTTGTAAAAGACCTAGATGTTGATCTTTTTATTATGTTCAAGATATGACCAACAATATAAAAAATGATGAAGTTAAGAAAGATAACTTATTTTTGATGCACAGTAAATGGCTATCAATAATTTTCAGATTTTGAAGAACTCAGGTATCAAATCACAGGTAAAAACAAAGACAATTAAAAAATAGTGAAATTTATGGTAATTTAATATAAAACCTAACTGGTTTTATATTAAAGTTAAATCTAGTTATTTTTTGTATTCAAATATTTCTTGTAACAATTCTAGTAATACACTCATTGTGATGGGTATAGTAGTTTACTAATTTTCATGGGTAAAAATTTCGCACCTTGTAAATAATTCCACACTTTTTAATGGGTTTTAAAACCTTTTTATTATTATACAATAATATTTTTAATTATTAAACCATAATTAAAAAAGAAACAATGTTTTTAAGATTTGTATAACATGAAAGCTGATTGAGAGAAAATTGATTTTGTATATTATTTTGACATTATTACATTTACAAGTAACTTAAAAATGTGACTTTGTAAAAATAATAATTGCAAAATTAAATATAAAAAAGCTTTAAAATATACCTCAGTAAATCTGTAATAAGAATGGGTTCTCCCAGCAGCAAAAGTCCTAAATAACAAAATATCATGGTATGTTTCTGTGTAAAACATTTTTCAAGCTCAGGATTCAAGCAATGTGTTTCAGGTTCTTCTTGTTGTTTTAAATGTTCCGAACCATTCCCTTCTAATGTTAAACTAAAATATCCTAAATAAAAAAAATTTATTTTTAAATTATTTAAAATATTGATAATTAATTATTTGAAATTAATCAAAATTTAAACAATCATATAGCAATCAATAGAAAATATAATCAATAGAAAAATAGTTTACCGACTGAAATAACAGGTTGGCATAAATAAATAAATTTTTACCACAGCTACTGTGTTTTGCCAGAATAGTGAATAAAGTTGGCAAAACACTTGCTCAGCTGTGTAAAAAAATATTATATTAGTAAAATTTTTAATATTAATGTTCAAGAGATTTTAATTTAACATTCAAGAGTTTTCTGGTGAATTAGTTCAACATTCATCACTAAATAAGATTTTAGTTTATTCTTATAAATAGTTTTTTTTTTTTTTTTTCATGACAGATGATATTTGGAAGTGTATTCCAAAGTTTAGAACCATGTGTGATAATGCTCGATTCCCAAAAGGATTGCTGTATTTTGTTTCTTGCAATTTTAGTGTTCCTTCTGACATTGAGTAGTGAATTAAATTGCATGGCGTTGGTGCTTCCAGAGCAATAGATTTGTGCATTATTAAAATAAATATATTCTTTTTTTTATTTTCAGCCAATGCAATTTGTTAAACTCCTGGTCATTTTACATTAAATTTCATGAAGTTCCTAGTTAATTTGTTGAATTCCTGAAGAATCATAAGAATGATTCACTTATCCATTTAGATGTGTATTCAAGACATTTTGGTATATCTAGGAATTATAATCTATCTAGGTATTATAAATAATTGGATGGTTTTTAAAATAAATTTTTCGTATGTGCATACAGGGTTATTTAACATTGCAAGATTACTTTTTTTAATTCAATCTTATCCTGGGGTAGTTCACAACCGATCTGTTAAAAAAAAATTTTAAGCAAGGCTTGCTAGTGCTCTAGAAAAAAACCTTAATACTGCTCAGGGTTGATAGGTTTTTACTAAATGGTTTAACCATGGTTTAAACCATTTAAAAGCTATTTTTATAGTGAATCTGTTTTAAAAAATGTATCACCAATAGAATGGTGGAAATCTTTAAAATATTTGAACTGCAACATTATCATAGATATTAAAGGTTGTTAAGTACACCAGCTTCTAGAGTTAGAATTAAAAGAATTTTTTCGACTTTTGAACTTGTTCATCCCAAGATAAGAAACAAGATGGGAGTAGAAATAATGGAAAAACTTGTTTTTAAATACAGAACATTAAATAATGATGTATTGGTTGATGAATTACAGCAGTAATGTTAATAGAAAATATAATTTACTTAAGTAAAATAACTGATTCTTTTATTTAAATGAAAAATTTGACTAAACATGGCTTTTTTTATATAAAAAAAAGGAGTTTAAACCAAAAAACCATTTTTAAAAACACATGGTTTTTTTTTTCTTTTTAAAAAAAAAAATTGTTTTTTGCAACCCTGCTATTGCTTAATCTATTATTGAAAAATTAGAATCCAACATGCAAAACTCTACAGTTAGAAACAGTTTTGATGATGGTCATTCCTGTAATAATTATTTTCAAAATTTAAATGAGCAGGTGTGCAAAATTTCTGATAAATTGCCAGATTTCAAAAATTAAGTTAAACAAAACCATTTCTTTCAACTTTATATAATACTGGTTACGTTTAATGAAAAAATGCCTAAAATTGTACTGATACACAATTTGATACAAATAATTATACACAATTTTATTATGCAAAATGTGGTGCCTATATTGATAAATTTTTTTTTTCCCTTTGACAATATTGTTGAGAGGTGCAAATTTTGTTTTGGATTGAGCAGTTGTCAGAAGAATTTTGTCTGTTGAATTTTTAAAGCAATTCTTATCTATATCAAAAAGGCAGTAGCTGGATGCAGTTACCATCTGTCCAAAATGCATCAATGCTGTTTAAAATGAATATTTTTGTTGAGACTTCATCTTTTGTCTTTATTCAACCAAGAACTAAAGCAAGAGGGATTTTTAAGAAGTTAACTTCATTTGGTTGTTTTCAAAAACTAATAATTCAACATCTACCTTATCATCATATTTTTTTTAGAAGATATATTCACCTTTATAGATCAAACTACCATGTTAACTTAACTCATAACATTTTTTACTAAAAACATAACAAAGCTAAAGTTTCACTGCCACAAAATATTAATTAAAAAAATATGGCGTTTTGCCTTTAATTTAAAAAGATGTACCTTCTTGATATGAAAATAATTTTCAAAACATAGCTCAGACACACTGGTTGGTCATAATTCATACTAATAAATTCCAATCAATAAAAATATATATTTTGCTATTTTCACCTATTCATAATTCATACTAATAAATCCCAATCAATAAAAGGATATATTTTGCTATTTTTAGCCATTAATAACATAATGATAACATAATGACCTTGTGAATTAATTTTATATATTAATTTGTTATCAAAATATTCCATATTGATTAGAAAGTTTTTTAACATTTTGTTTTAAAAAAGGTTGATATTAATTTAAAATTAATAGTTTACCTGTCAATTTTTTTTCAATATAAAATTAAAAAGTATACCGGTTTAGTGTTCATATATTATAAATATTTAATTTATGTTATTTTTCTTATTTATTTTTTTATATATTTAATTTTTATCTCTTGTTACAATTACTACATTCTTTAACCTTGCTTGTTTCTCCGTTTCTCTTCCTTTATTAGATAACTTTTAGATTTTCTTTTGATAATATAGGGTGGGATGACTCCAATTTTTTTAAAATTTCTACCACCTTCATGATTTCTTTTTTGCAACTTCATGGTGGTAGGTTCTCCATCAAAAAAAGCAACTTTCATTTCTCGTAAATAGGCGAACCATAAATCACCAACAACATTCTAAGATTTAATTCTAAAATATTTAATTCAAAACTTATTTCTTTGTTAAAATAACTAACAATGAAATAAAAAATTGAAGTAAAAATTATAAATTAATAAACAATTTAAAAAAATTTGTTAAAAAGATATTTTCCTTTGTCTATTATTTTGAAACTTTTAACTTTTAAATAATATCACATATCTAATTACATATCACAAACCACAAGTATATCACAAATTATATATGTATCACAAATCATATTACTTATACAATATAATGAGGGGAATCCAGGATCTATATGTCAGGATGTTAGCCAGGAATATATTTTTTACTGGACTTTTGCGATTTGGGAACATTACTGTTCTACAAAATCTTGGGAATTTTTATTGAAATTGTCCTTTTACTTAAAAAAAAAATTAAATAAAATAAAGTCATTGAATTTTGGGAACTTCAAATCCATTGGGAAATCCACGGTATACGAGGTGCAATTGGGCTGGCTAACATCTTGTATGTGATGAAATTGATCATTATTATTACTGTAGTTATATTCTTTCTTGTTTTAGTTAAAAAAAAGTTAAAAAGCAATAAAATAATTATTGACATTTATCATTCAATTTCATAACAATTTTATTAACTTATTAATCATTGTGTAAAAAGAACAATTGACAAAGCTCTATGACCAGCACGACTTGAAACAAATCAGTAAGTAACCAAGAATTTTTTATATTATTTTAGTTCAGAACTTTTAAATAATTTTTAGACATGTTACTTCAAGAAAACATTAACTTAGAATTTTAACTAATTTTCATCACAGAATGTAACACCTATGATATTGCAATGTTATGTAGAGATTAGCCAAATATTGGCTAATCTCTTCATAACATTGAGTAATCTATATATTAAACCATTTAACACTATATTTGCTTGACATTGCTTAGCACGTTGACAGAAATCAGGTGAACTATTTAATGACTATATCCAAGCACTTAAAATATTTGCCAAAAATTGTAACTTTAAACCAGTTACTGCATTACAATACCAAGAAGAAGCAACTTGTGACTCTTATTTGTGGTATAGCTTCCAATGAAATCCGTCTATGACTTCACAAAAAAAGAGACATGACATTAGAGGTTTGACAAAGCTTATGAAGCTGCTCAAAAACATTCTGAAGATTATCTATCCTCAGTTTATCAAAAACTTTTACATCTGATTCTAATGAGAATACAGAAATTCTCACCACATCTGCTGCCATTCCTAACAGTAACAACTCCTCCATAAACAAAGTTTGCATTTTCGGTGAAAATACTGTTCATTCTAGATATAGATATTTAGCTAAAAATGCTGTAACATGCTGTAATCTGTAACAAGTGGGGAAAAAAAAAATTTCTCTAAAGTATGTCTTTCAAAGCGAACTAACACCCACTTAACAGCTGCATCTATCTTAAAACTGACATTAGTAGATACTACTAGTAGTGTAAATCAATTTCTTTAATAGTTGCAATATCACAATCAACAGCCATTTGATCAAAGCTCTTATTGATAGTTGGATGTTCTTTTTTTTAACTTGTATTCTTTATCCCTAGTTCTTTAAACCTAAACTAGTAAATTATTAACCACTAAACATAAAAATTCACAACTATTCCAATGTAATACTACATGTTATGGACAATTTATGTGCTGATATTATTCTTGGCATTGATTCCCAGCACCAAGTGTAATACTTAATTTTGGTGAAGTGAGAACAGCTTTTGTAGATGGATTTGCTAAATTAAATGTAGAGCCTTTGAACCTGTTTGAAAACCACCCACATGACTGTAAATAAATAGCCTCAAAATCTTGCCTCTATAGTGCTGAAGACAGATAATTTATCAGCTCCAAGTACAACACCTTTACAAAGATGGAATTATTGAACCTTCATCATCATGTGGAGATCACAAGTCATTGTAACAAATAATGAAAGATCAAAAAAGCGCCTAGTTATAGATTACAGTCAAGCTATCATTCATTTTATGTCTTGATGCATACCCTCTACCAGAAGTAGATGAATTTTTAAACAATTTTGCAGTATGGACACTTTAGTACCATTGGTTTTAAATCATTTTATCACCAGATCCTGATTACACAAGTATACAGTATACTGCATTTCACCAGCTTCAAATGCAGCATACCTGTATACTGCATTTGAAGCTGACAGAGGCTTACATCATTTTAAGTATATGCGGTTTGGTGTGACAAACAGAGTAAGCCAGTTTTAAAGAACAATGGACAATTTTATTGCTGAGGAGAAATTGAAATATACTTTTGCTTATCTTGATAATTTGACTATCTGTGGATTGATGCAAGAGGAATATGACTACAACCTCAAAACCTTCTTTTTAGCTGTTTAAGCAAATACTTAACTTACAACAATGAAAAATGTGTTTTCTCTACTAGATCTCTAAACCTTCTTGGCCACAAAGTTTGTAATCAACAAGTTAAACCAGACACTGAGCAACTGCCACCACTTCGAGAACTACTTGTATCAGTTGACATAAAATCCCTTTTATTAGGTCTATTTTCATACTATTCACGTTGGACCCCTCAATTTTCGAAGTAGATTGCCCTATTAGTCAAAGTTTGACATTACTAACTGGGAACTAACTAGCACTATCTATTAGCTGTTAAAATAACATTACATAGTCGTATGCATTGTCCAGCAATGAGCGTGTCTAATCTATTGTCTTTACCTGATTTGTTATGCCGCCCTGGTGTTACCAGAATGACTGCTTTTGATTGCTTATGCAACCTACCATTCTCAGTAGATAATGTGAAATCTGTTACAGGCAACTTTCGAGAATGCCAACAATACAAACCATCTTTCTATACACCACCAAAGCCACAATTCATTACAGCTACTCAGTTGTTTGAAAGACTAAACCTTGATTTCAAAGGACCTATACTTTCAGCTACCCGTAATATACATATGTTTACTATCATTGATGAATTTTCTCGACTTCTATTTGTATTTCCTTATGCCAACATGGACTTAACTATAGTCATTGATTGCTTTTCTGAACTCTTTGCTATTTTTGGTATGCCTGCCTACATCTATACTGACAGAGGATCGTCTTTCATGAGTGATGATGTACAAGATTTTCTTCATAAAAAGGGCATAGCTACCAGAAGAACAACTCTGTACAACCCACAGGGAAAAAGTCAAGTAGAACAATACAATGGTATCATTATGAAAACTATCTAATTAGGTTTGAAATCTTAAAATCTTGATTCAAAATATTGGGAGGTTGTCTTGCCTGATGCACTCCATTCCATTTGTTCTTTAATCAAAACCACTACTAATGAAACTCCTCATGAACGACTCCTTATGTATAAAAGACATTCTGCTACAGGATGCTTAACCCCCTCATGGCTCACACAACTTGCCAAGGTATTATTAAAGAGACATGTTAAAAATTCAAAGTATGAACCTAATGTAGATGAGGTATTCCTAATGAAAGCAAACCTACAATACGCACTTATTAAGGATGCCAGCAGTCATGAATCTACTGTTTTTATTTGTCATCTTGCGCCACTAACCCAAGACTCACCTACAGTTATCTTGGAAACACAGAATCTAAGCTCATTGGAGCAACTTACTTCACACCAGTTAAAAGAATCAGATGAGACTGTGTCATTGGATATTCTTATGACATCCAGTGGGTCTTGAGCTATTTTATTTATTTGAGCTATTATATTTTACCAAGATAATTAACTCAAAAGCGCACAGCTTCAAATTGGTTGAAACTTTAAACAATGGACTACTTTAAACTTAAATATTTTTATATATAATAAACAATAAATAACATCAATAAAACAATTATAAAATAACCTATAAAAACATTCAAAAAACTGTAATTAAATAGAAAAGACAAGAACTATGGTGTCTGCATTAGAACTTTATTTAGATAATTAAATGTTGCTTAGAGATAAATTTCATTTTAACAATGAAAAAACAAATATATATACAACATACTTTTAATTGAGCATCAAACCCCATTTTTACAAGAGCTTCAACTTGTGCTTTTATCAAATATTGATATCCTTCATAAATAACCCAAGTGTGTCCAACATTATGGGCTAAGACAAAAAATTTACTAAATGATATTATGAGTTAACATTAAGAAAGTTATTATTAAAGTTATGATATTGTATTCACCTCCCCAATACTGAAAGGGTTATTTTCATCTAAGAGGCTACTCTTTTTTTTTTTTTTTTTTTGTCACTACAACCTTCTTTAATCTCAATTAGCTTCAAAATATGAACCTTGAGAAACAAGATTAAGGTGCAAAAAATGAAGTTGGGTGTAGTACTATCATGAATATGGTGGGGAATAAATTTTTCACTTACAAAACAAGCGCTCCACCACTATACTACTACTACATTACATTCATTTGATTATAAAGTCTTTTAAATATTTTAGAATATACACAGTATTTACAGAATTTTAAAATTAAGATTCCAGGACATTCGATTGTTTTTGGAGGATATTCCAGGATATTTTAGATATAGAAAGCCATTAATTTCTCAATATATTCCACTTTTGTTTTTTAGCAAAAAATTTCAAACTCAGTATTAGGGTAATCATAAATCTTTATGGTAAATTTTAAGTGATACTTATTTGGTGTAAAGATGAAATTAAATATTTTAGCTTGATTGAAAAAAAGTTAAAACCTTCCTCATTAGCCCTTAGTAAAATACTTAAAATATGTTTTTTTAAATATGGTTAATTGCTATAAACTTAAAATATGGTTAATTGCTATAATTTCCTTTCAATGGTCATTTATATGCAGGCAATATTTATTTATATCTTGCATGTAAATAAATATTGCCTGCATATAAATGAACATGTAAATAAATGTAAAAGTTTAAACAAAAGTTCAAACATGTCACATTGAAAATGTGTCTAACAATTTTTCAATACTTAATTAAAAAGTAGAAAATAATTATAAGCCATTTGGGATCTTTAGGAGCTTTGGGATCTTTAGGAATTTTGGAGCCAAAAAACTAAACCTTAACATAAATATTTATAATAAATAAACAAAATGCAAAAATAAATATTTATCTACAAATAAACAAAAAATCTGAAGTATTATCATTTTTCAACTGCATGTCACTGAGTCACCCAACCAGCTTTTGCTAACTACCTGGATAGTAATGTGAAATTAAATGTAATGTGATGGTGAAATTAAATGTAATGTGATGATGAAATTAAATAAAATGTGATGGTGAAATTAAATGTAATGTGATGGTGAAATTAAATGTAATGTGATGGTGAAACTAAATGTAATGTGATGGTGAAATTTAATGTAATGTGATGGTGAAACTAAATGTAATGTTATGGTGAAATTAAATGTAACGTAATGGTGAAATTATATGTAATGTGAAGGCAAAACTATAAGTAATGTGATTTTCCAAAGTCTTACGCATATTTTTTTTTCCACATTTTTTTCCAGTTCTTTGTTGAAGTTGACTACAATAATCTTTTCCGTAACCCATTTCTTGTCTTGCTTCAACTTGTACTTCCTAAATATTGTCATTATGTATAAAAAGTATTGAAAACATATAAAGATACATATAAAAATATATAGGTATACATAAAAAATATATATGTAAAAAAAAATAATTATAAAATAGTGATGACTAAAGTTTTTTTCATAAATTTAATAAATTTTATTTTATATAGTTTAATGAAGAGAGTCTTTTTTTTTTCAATTTTAGAAACAGAGGATAGGAGTTGATTTTGTTAATAAATCTTATGGGAATCCCGAATCTGTGAAGATGTTGTGTTAATAGTATTTATTTGTTGAATTTAAAGATAGTATTAAATTTACTATCTTCCTGTCCCTTTCTTTATTTTTCTGCCCCTTCTTCATTAATATGTGAGAGAGAAAATTAGATAAATAAAAATTTTTAGACCATAAAGGGACAGATTAAGTAGAGCAGATAAAGTAAAAAGATGCAACTTTGTTGAATGACAAGTCAAGCAAGAATAAGTTTTGATTAATGGTTAATAGAGATGATAGTTTGAACAGTAACCATGATAGTATTTGTAGAGTGAATCAAGCTCGGCAGATAAAGCAAATCCAACTACATTTACAATGCATTTTTTGACCTTGTCTAGAAGAGAAAGAGCATCATTAGAAAAAAAAGCCTAAATATGACATCAGTATTACACTGATTTATAAAAACCTAAACAAACAGTATACACTGAGTTTTGTTGGAGTTAAAAATCACAAGCTACTGTGAGCTCCAAGCTGTCACAAATTAGAGATCAGATTCAAAATCAGTTGCCTGTTCTATGCAATCAAAAGAGAAGAATTTTTGTCATTACAGGAGTTGAGTTGTCAGCAAAAAGCCAGGTGTAAGATTGACAGAAAGATTATTACATGATATTATGAATAAACCATTCGAAGTAAGCTTATGGAGAAGACCAGCATGCCAAACCTCGAAAAATCAAAATCTGTATCGGCAGTCAAAGAGTAAATGATTAGACTCAAGGCATTAGAAATTTGTTGATTAAAGACTTGATAAAAAGACCTTGCTAATAATAGAGAAACTGATTGAACAATAGTGGTCAGAATAGCAGTCAGTAATAGGGGTCAGAATGTTCTCAAGAGTATTTGAAAATTGGAACCACAGATGGCATTTTCCAGCAGGCAGGAAAACAAGATTCAATCAAGCACTTACTAGATAGTTTCAAGAGAATTAATGAGAGTCCTGGAGAACACTTTTGTAAGACCGTTGAATAAGAATGTTGTTACGACCACAAACTGTAGAATACTTTCACAAGCCATAGTTTAATTGATAAATGATTTTTTTTTTTTTTTTTTTTTTGTTCAAAAAACAATTTTTTGACAATTTTTTTTGACCAATTTTTTAACAAAAAAAAATTAATAACAAAACTTTATAAAAAAACTTTTATAAAGTTTATAAAAGTTTACAGAAATAAAAAAAAAAATCATGCAAAATCTGTTTGAACTACTTAAAAATTAACTAATTAACTTTACAAATAAGGGGTTGTCCGTAAATTACATCACGTTTAGGAGGGGGAGGGGGGCAATTTTTTGATGATTTGTTACGAGGAGGGGGGGGGGTCTCAATTTTGTGACACAACATTTTTTTTTTTTTTTAGAGAAGACGTTATTTTAATTAAAAGAAATCTAACCAAACTAAAACCCTCAGTTGATGTATCTACATGTTGGTTGTAATATTAACTACGCCTAAATCTTACTTAGTTGATGTGTACACTCCGTTACAATTTGTTAATGGTTACAGTCTGTTAATGGACAGTTACAGCTGTTTGTGCAGTACACATTCTGCGCTTTGAATTTATATGGTTCCAGTGCAGAACTTTATTTAGTTGGTGCACGAAAGTGTGCAGCAACAAAAAAAAATCTTTGTGCAATAACTAAAAAAAAACTTTTCAATACCAAGAAAACGAGCCTTGAACCCTTGGTTTACTAACCGGAGGCAGAATCCACTCAACCACGCTTATGTTGCTAGTTCTAAGAAAATTGTATATACATATTAATAATTTTGCATGTATAATATGTTATTATTTATTATATATATATAATATTTTAAATATATTATATATCGAAAAAAATAGATTTTTAAAATTGGCATCATGTTTAGAAGAGCGATGTTAATTTATACAATTTTACACAGAACTATTGGGGCAAAACATTAAACAGACTAAAAAGTACTAATTAACTCATAGAAGCTCAGAGAATTATAGACATTATTATATTTAAAATTGTTTTGGATTTTGTAAAATTTTGCACCCCTCTCATCCTCTCTAAAAATACTTTTAAAAAATTTTTTTCTTTTTTTTTTTTATTTTTAGGGGAGGGGAGGGGGGTACAAAATTGTTGCATAATATTGGGGGAGGGGGGGTCAATAAAGTGTTATGGATGCGTTACGAGGAGAGGGAGGGAGTCAAAAAATGTCAAAAACTGCGTGATGTAATTTATGGACGACCCTTAATTACACTTTAATAATAACTACAAATGTTTAAACCTGAGATTGTGTACTGCAACTGACACAATAATACTTGCCATCAAGATCATAAAACGATTCTCCATCACATAGATCACAAATAGGCATGTTATAACTTTAACCTAAAACAACCAAATCTGGAGATATGTATGCTTTTTAAAAACATACAGAAAATATACTTTTACAAATACAAAAAATGCAAAGCAAGAATTATATGTTATATTTATGTTAATAATATATGCATAAAAACAATGTTAGTGTATTCTACAAAAAGAGTGCTCGATGATCTTAAAGAACTAAAAACTATTAGAAGAAGAAAAAATTAGATGAATGTTTTTATTATTATTATTATTATTATTAAATAAAAAAAACTTGATTTTTTTATTTTTACTTCCTTAAGTATTGTGCAACTTTTTATTAGTTTTATTGTACTATTCTATTGTATTTATTAGTGCCATGCAACTTTTTATTATATGTTATTATATTGCAGTATGCATTTTTTATTATCATATTACAGTAATTTATACAGTTTTTTATTATGTTATTATATTACAGTATCATGCAACTTTCTTTTTAATATCTTATATTTTTAAAAATATTTTGACTTCTTATAATATGCTCACACAGTATTTTAGCCTATAAAAATTTCCGAAAAAGCTGCCAATTTTTGCTGATGTTTCCAAAGCATATAACTATTACTTAAAAAATAACAATTAGTGTTTATTAGAGATCCACACATGTTGCCCATAATTTTAAAGGTATCTGTGATCAATTGAATATTACCATTGCAATCAGCTGCGTAGTAACTTTTATAAAGAGACTTTTTAATAAAATACCTTGGTAAGTACTCTGATGTTAAAAGAAATTAAAAAAAAATTAAAAAGTGTTAGAGATCTAAATCTGTTCAAGAAAAACCATCAAAAATAAAAAAAAAATAAAAAAAATGTGTTTGGGAACTAAATCTATTTTTACAACCCTGTTCAAGAAAGGTTGGTTTCTTTATACCTTTAGAAGAAAAATATTCCTGCAATTAACAGGAATTCTGGACAGATTAAAAACTTTAGGAAATATGTTTATTGGAGAGATAGACAAAGATAAAACAGCTAAATTGAAGAAAAATAACAAACATATATATATATATATATATATATATATATATATATATATATATATATATATATATATATATATATATATATATATATATATATATATATATATATAACACATTTTGTCCAGAACAAAAAACGCACAACTTTTTTAGATCAAGAATTTAACATGAGCAAAACTGCAAAAATATTAAAAAGGAAATCTTTTAGATAATAAATATGCCAATCATGTTGTACATCAATAACATAGATTTATCAACTATAATCATGAAACTCTAATAACAGTTAAATTTGATGGTACAATAAACAACACAGGTCATAAAAATGTAGTGATTAGAAAATTATATGAAGGTATGAAATAATCATTCAGAAAGTGCTTTACTAGTAAAAGTTAGAAAATAAAAAGCAGATTCAACAGATAAAATTAGTTCTGCATTAAATTTTGATCTAGATTTATTGATTGTGAACAGATTCCTGGAAAAGTTGCTGATGTAAGTAATGTGGTGAGTGATTTAGGTACTTTTTAGATATACCTTTTAAAAGCTTGGGTATCAGTTTAACAGGGCTAAAGCACAAAATAATATGCCAGGAAATCTAATCACTAATGAACTATTAGAAGAAATTGCACTGAGTTTAATTTTATTAATTAAAATGCAGTTAATACTTGGTATTTTATTTTGCAATTTTATATTTAAATTCATATGCAAAAAAAATTTTCTCTTAAAAATGATGATTTTTAATTGACAATAGACTATATTTATTTTCCACATTAAGAGTAACAAGAAGTATTAAGTCCCATTTCCTCGCTTCTTATAATAAAATGTCTAATGTTATTGTATTAAGAGAGAGGGTATTAGACTCGACATAATAGAGACTAACTAAACAACCAAAGAATTTTTGATTACTACTTTTGGGTTTCTAACCAATGGGATTGATGTTTAATTAGCATTTATAGATGAGTTTTTCCATTCAGTTATAAATTAATTTATTATTTTTCATTTATAGATGGTTTTTCCATTGAGTTTTCAGGTTCCTTTAAACTTGTTTAAAAACTTTAGCTAAGCAACTATCTATATATGTAATCAATGAGTTAAAATAATGATATTTGTAGAGCAAATGAAGGTAGAAATTTTAGCAAGGTAAAATGGCATTTGGATGAATGTCTAAGAAATTGTTTATAAAACAAAACCCATATTTTAATTTTAGAAACATTACAAAGATATAATTTAAATTAAAAACAAAAGTTATTTATTTGTAGAAATAGTTTAAATTTATCTTTAAATATAGTTTTGATAATGAAACTTATTGTCCCCTTTATTGACCAGAATAATTTAGACATACAAAAAGAAAGAGGAAGGAGGTAGAAAGTCCTAGGCAACTAGCCAGACAATCACAGATGCTTACATATATTGCTGTCAACATTATTGTTAACTGCAACAACATCAACAGAATCATCACCTTTATCTTCAGCTCTTGCAGAAAAACGACAGATACCATTTTTTTACTTCATCCTCAGGAAAGTTTTCTATTAGAAACTTTTATCTCAAAAAGCTGCTGACTAGATTTGCACAAACTTCTGGACATGCTAGGTCAGCTAGAATCATCAGGTTTCGCTAAAGAGAAAGCCTAACAGGTGATGAATATTTGAAGCAACTGAGATAAAAAGCAGCAAAAAAAAGATAAAGCCCCAAGTAAAAAGACTTCAAGAAAAAGAAATCTCCCTGCTGGAGATGATAGGCACAGTGATGAAGATGATCAAGGAGAAGAGTGGGTATGCTTTAAAAATAAAATTGTTTAAAAATAATGTAAAATTATCTTTTACATACTGGAGCTTATTGCCCCCATTTTTTAAAATTTGAGTTGGCAACCTTCATTCAGTTCCAACTTTTTAGTTTTTTTTCCACATATTTCCGTGAACTAAATAAAAGTCTAAAAGAAAAACTTATATTCTTCTTAAATTCAATTAATTAGAGACAATAGTTTTCCATTAGTGTTATAGTGATATATTCATATATGTATATATATTCTATTCTATTTTTATTTTTTTTTGTTTTCATTTATTCTTTTTTATTTTATTTGAATTTATTTTTTGAAACTTGTTTATTTTCTTGTCTTTGTCCTTTATGAATTTGTATTGTTTACAAGGTTGCTCTCCTCGTTTTAGCCAGGCTATAACCTTCCAGTCAGTATTATGTTATTTTACACCTTTGTATAATATTTACTGGTAAATATATTGTTGTTGTTGTAGAAAAAAAAAAAAGTTTTTAAAAACACGGGACTTAATGTTCAGGTGTTCTTTTTTCTTTTTTTTTTAAGTAACTTTTTTTTAAATTATTTTTAGTGTTATTATTTTTGTTTTATTTGTTTGTTGTTGTTTGTTTTGTTGTTGTTTTTTTTTTGTTTTTTGTTTTCTTATAACAATATTATTATTATTCTAATATTACTGATATTACCATTTATGTGCTAGTTATATGTTATAAATTTTGTTATAAATTTATAGTGAATATTTGTAGATAATTGAATATTTGTAGAAATTATATAATAGAAAATAAATGCATTTATAAGAATATAAAATAAAATATCACGTTTTTGTCAGTTAAATAACTGTTTGTGACATTGTATTTACTTTATAAAGTGAAATAATTGATTGATTGATTGATCAATGCCCCTGTTACCCTAACTAGTTATATATATATGAATTATAAATTTTATAATTTAGTATAGTATAACTCAATTATAGACTATTGTCAATTAGGAATTATAAGTTATAATAGAAAATAAATGCATTTTAAAGAATATAAAATATTAACATTTTAATCAATAAAATAAAACTCTAATAGTTCATTTCCTCTAATAGTTCATTTTCCTGAAAGGATAAATAATATTTTAAAACGAAAAATATTTAAATAACTGATTTGAATAACTTAAGTTTTTTTAATACTCTAGTTATACTTGCTAAAATTTATCACGTGCATGTTATGGCGCTTGTTTTTAATTTTTACTTGTTCAAAATTTACTATAACCGAAAAATGAATTTGATAGCAGAAAAAAGTGTTTTAATTATGCCTCAAATAAAATATCAAATTTCCTAATAATAGGAGGAACTCTAGCTCAATCTTGAATTTGATTTGCCCATTTAAGCATCCATAATTCATTTCTATAAATCTTTCGCAGTACATGCGTTTGCGTATAATTTGGAACTTATAAAATAAAGGGTATCAATGCAAAAACTTAATGCAAAAACACTGGAAGGATTGTAGTTGAATAATTGAAAAAAAAATTCTAAATACAGTAAAAGGTTTATTAAAACGCTAAATGTATCAAGTTGATAAATGTATCAAGTTACGATGATATAAATACTTTACTCTCATTTATGTTTTAATTATATATACAAATTATATATATATATATACATAGGCGCCCGCAGAAAATTTTCTAAGGGGGGGGGGGGGGGAAACACTTTTTGTTATTGCTTTTTTTCCTGTTATCTATTATGTAAAAATCAAGATATGTAAGATATAAAATAAAGAGAAGAAAAAAATTATATGTCCGTGGAAAAAAGAAGACAATTTAAACTTGTCAGCACCGTTTTTGTGTATAAAATATTAAACTGTAACGAAGTTTCACTAAAAGATATTTTTTACAGAAAAATTTAGTAACAAACTTTATGGCATGAATAACGTTACAAAGAAGAAATTTTTTTCCTATATTTAGAAAATACAGGGAAGGGGGCAGTGCCCCCTCTTGCCCCCCCTCCTTGCGGGCGCCCATGTGTATATATATATATATATATATATATATATATATATATATATATATATATATATATATATATATATATATATACAGGGCCACCGAGAGCTGTCTCGCCGCCTTGGACAGCAATCCTGATTAGCGCCCTTATTTATCAAATTTTCCCTATATTATATATGAAGGACCTTTTTTTTTTTAAGTGCCTACATTTCATTTGGCGCCCCTTGAATATCTGCCGCCCGGGCCCTATATATATATATAT